TCTCTCTCCTTTCTTTCTATTAAAGCTCTACAAGATCCCCAAAACCCACTCCGTTAAACACAGTATAGCAGAAAAACGAAACAAAACAAATAAGCATCTAAATCATCATTCTGTCCAACCCCCCTTCCCCCTTCCCCCCCCCAAAAAAAAAAACCCAAAACCTAAAAAATACCAAAAAACCAAACCCTAGTTGGGGGCTTTTCCTCAGCAACGCTTGGCGAGCATCCAAGGAGGTGCAAAGAGCAACACACCAATGGGTTCACGCCACAACGACACACAGCTGATCGTGAACCAAACAGGAAAAGAAAACAGAATGCACTTGGTGACCAAGGCAGGTGAAAATAGCACACAGATAGTGAACCAAAAAGAAAGGGAAAACGGAGTACAGTTAGTGACGAAGAAAGAAGGAGAAGACAGCACAGAGAATATAATACACAACAAGAAAGGAGGAGACAGGGAACGGCGAGTGAACAAAGGAGAAGGACAAATCAGCACACCGCTGGTGAACGAGGAAGAAAGAGAAGACAGCACTAAGTTACTGCAAGAACACGCAGAACGATTTGTAAGACTTATCTTAGAAGTGGCCTCCAACAGGCTGAAAGAACGACACAAATCCAAATCACGTGATATACACGTTGAAAGTGATAATGATACTGATACAAGAGTTCTTAAACCGCTTAAAGGTAGGTTCTCGTCTGTCTGTCTGTCTGTCTGTCTGTCTGTCTGTCTGTCTGTCTGTCTGTCTGTCTGTCTGTCTGTCTGCTATGGTGTGGTGAGGTGAAATAAGGGATTACCGCCTCTTTCAACGCAGGAAGCTTATCCATGAATCTGTCACTATCTGTCTGATTTTCTGTCTGTTGTGTGCCCATCTGCTTGTCTATTGATATCATTTGTTTATTTTTTTTTTAATTTAGTCTGGCTGTCCTCGATGGTGTTGCGTATTCTTACAGATAATATCACAATTCGTACTGTTTATTTTCGGGGAGGGGATAGTCACTTTTGTTGTTATTTATCTATCCATTAGTATTGTTTCTTTTATTGTCTCTATTTGAGTGAGGGTGCGTTGGAATAGAAGGGGGGGG